GTAATTTATTGGAAAGGGCTTCAGGGTTTCTGTTTCAAGTTATATTGGGCAGGCCTCCCCGAGTGTGTGATGGGACACAGAGGGCTCGGTTCTGCTCTTGGGAACTTTGGATGGAAGCTCAGAAGATGCCACCACACTCTCGCCTTTTGTCTTTGGAAAGTAAACTCTGAATTAGTTAATATGTTTAAGTCTGCTGGTATCAAAGGTTTAACCGTATAATAATATGAGTCTTTTTTTTTTTTTTTTTTTTGGTTTTTCGAGACAGGGTTTCTCTGTGGTTTTGGAGCCTGTCCTGGAACTAGCTCTTGTAGACCAGGCTGGTCTCGAACTCACAGAAATCCGCCTGCCTCTGCCTCCCGAGTGCTGGGATTAAAGGCGTGGGCCACCACCGCCCGGCCCGGCTAAATAATAACAGAGGCTGGGGGACTGCCTAGCAGGACCCAACAGAAAACCATCACTGTTTTCCTAACTCAACAGAGATGGGAAACTTTCTAGTTGATACACACCACAGACAAATATTGGGGTTTGTACCTAGCTTCTCAGTGCAAGTTTTCCCTTTCTCCCTTCCTTCCTTTGTTCCTTTGTTTCTTCCTCCCTCCCTCCCTCCCTCCCTCCCTCCCTTCCTTCCTTCCTTCGTTTCTCCCTTCCTCCCTTCGTTCCTTCCTTCCTTTGTTCCTTCCTTCCTTTTTTTTGCAGGACACCTGACTGAGCCAGAGAGATAGGGAGATATAGGGGCCCAGTTTGTAGGACTGTAGATCTGCTCTCTCTGTTCTTTGCTCAATTTGGATGGTTTATTCTTCTGATCTTCTTTGGCGGGAAGACTCTGTTGCTCTACAAAGTGTGAGGAGTGCTGGTTTGACTAGAGGTCTGCAGCCTCACTGGGACCCTAGAAATCTAGTTAATTCTCCTGTCAGTCCACAGAGCAAACCTGGAACCCTGAGACACTGAGGTTTCTACAAGGTTTTGTGCCGCCGCTCAGCCCTCAAGTGCTCCTGAGGCCATCGTCAACCACCCCTCTAATTCTTCCTCAGCTCTGCCCTCTTAAAAGTTTCCCATGATTCTCCAAATGCCTGGCACCTAGTCAGACCGCCAAGCACCTGCCTCAAAGGCAGAGGGCCAGTGGCAGCTTGGGTCATTCCTTCTCCAGCTGTGTGGCCTTGTGGTGGTTTGTCCAAGTGGATCTAAGCTTCTTGGTGCCCTTGTGCAGAGGGAGTCATCTCTGCAGACTGTTCCTGGCTCTGAACCAGAGAAACAGCTATAAACAGTATCTTGTATTCATTTGTCATACAGTTTCTTTCTCCAATGTAAAGATCAATGTCCTGTCATTAAGCTCCACCCTCCGATCCCCCACCCCCTTCACCCCTCTATCCCCTCTAGTTACTTGGCTTCTGTGATCACATACTGGTATGATCGCGCTCTTTTAAATCCACACCTTTTTTTATTCCTTTGATCCTTTAAGAGGGTCTTCAGAAAAAAGCAAAGGCAGGAGTGTGTGCTGAATCAATTGTTTTACTAAAAATTGTGTGTACTTTTTCTTTGTTTGTTTGTTTGTTTTTGAGACAGAGTTTCTCTGTGTAACAACCCTGGCTGTCCTGGAACTCACAGAGATCTACCTGCCTCTGCCTCTTGAGCGTTGGAATTAAAGATGTGCGTCCTACCACCCAGCTACTATTTTTTTTAAGAATTTTATTTTAAAGTCATTATGCATTTATCAGCAGTTGCAAAAGTAGAGAGATTTCCCAGAAGCCTCAGGTGATTTCTGCTGAAGGTAAATTCTTCCTTTGTTGCAGGTAGTATACACCAGTTCAGGAGACTGATGAGGGTGTAATTCATGAGCAGAGTCAGATGTCAGAGGGCTTTCAGGGGTAAGGTTCTGTGCTGTCTGAGAACGTGTGGATTCTTGGAACCAGTTAGGACGCTGAACTCTTTTGTCCTTCTGTGTCATCATCATGCCTGTCCCTCCCGTCACGTGCAACTTCCAGAACTCCTGATCCACTCTTCGATGCTGTCATTTTGTCACTTTTGAGACTTTTACAAATAGAATCATATAATATGTAAATATTTGACAAGGTTTTTGATCTTCCCCTCTCGACACAATTCCTTCCAGGCCCACCTGTGCTGTTTTCTGTCTAAGTAGTGGCAGATGAGTGGTATTCCATGGTCTTTGTTACTGTGGGAAACCTTGTTTAAGCCTTTCTCCTAAGGAGGACCATTTGAATGGCTTCCAGTTTGAGGGAGTGATAGGTACACACTTTGAATTTCTGACAGATAAACACTTAAACAGAAAAAGCAAAACAGTGCAAATGTTGAGAATGATACCAATGTGTGTGTGTGTGTGTGTGTGTGTGTGTGTGAGTGTATGTGTGTATCTGTGTATGTATGTGTGTAATTATGTATGTATCTGTGTGTATATGTGAGTGTACTTGTGTGTGAACAGGCAAGAGTGTTTGGGATTGAACCTATGATCTCATGCATATTAAACATCCGCTTTCCCAGACACTTTTATTCTTCACAAGAGAGGGAAAACTTGCCTTCAGCATTACTGGTCACTGGTAGAGTCTTGCTTGCAGCCACCTTTGCTTTTCTTTCAACTTGATCCATGACCTGCATCGGAGCACATGTGTATGGTAAGGCAGCAGGTCTGGTCTTGGTTCAGGTAATTACTTAGTGATTTCACAGTAAGAATAGACACAAAGTAAACAATAAAACATAAAAGGAAATATACACATTTTCAAGTGTCAAAGGAAGGAGAGTTTAAGTTTTTAATTTCTGTTCTAAGAAAATACAACCCACTGCTCTAGTGTTTAAACTTAGATATGTTGGCTTTTGATGGGACTCTTATTTTAGAATGCCCATCCACGCCATAAAATATGTCAGAAATTATGTCTGTTTATCTGTGTACATATGGCATAAAGCCTAGGGTAGTGCTATCTTAGAGCCCTGGCTGTCGCTACCCCAGGTAGTTTTGATGTGGAACACGGTAGGCTGGTGGTTAGCACCACCCTGCTGGAATGCTGTGCTCTGGCCACTCTAGTTAGTGTCTTTATGCTTTTGTGTGCATGAGAAGGAAGTACAGGGATCAATAATAATAATAAGTGCATGCTTATCATCCCAGGACTGAGGAGATGGAAGCAACAATCTCAGGAGTTTGAGGCTAGATTCAGAAATGTAATGAGTTTGAGGGGTGTGACTATGATGAAATATATTAATACATGTATGAAAATGTCAACATGAAACACATTGTGTTATGCCTAGCTAATATATAGAAACAACACTTCAAAATCGACCCTTAAGTTCATCTTTTACAGATTCAACAGAGCCTGTGACAGTTAGCACAGCTGACGTTAGGGGGCCAGACTGTAATGCCCATCTGTGGAGAGGAAGTCCCTGAAGTACCACGTTGAGTATGTGGGTTAATCATAGTCTGCGGCCCGCTTTCTCCACCTGTAAAATTAGAGAATGAAACAGCTCTCTTGAGTTTCTTCAAACCTTACATTTGCTTCCATTGTCAGTTTTGAACATGGAAAACATTTAAAAAATAAAATGACCTGTAATGATTCCAGTGTGCTTTCTTTTCTTTCAAAAAATCTGGAATGGTTGTTTATTAACATAACTTCACTATTAAATTTTAAAAAGTGAGTTTCATGGCTAACGGAGGAACTATGAACAGCTGATGGCTGTTAGAGAAGGGAGGGTGAGTTTTCTTGAGGGTTTAGCCCCCAGCAGGTTGGCTCCTGTAGATGGCTCCACACTCACTGGTACATGGGCAGCACAAAGTGGACTCAGTGGGTTATTTTTTAAAGGGGGGGCACAAGATTGGGAGTAGGGAGTTTATTGGAAGGCGTTAGGAGTAGTGGTGGGGAGTTAATAGGGTCAAAAGACATTTTAGGCATAAAATATATTTAAAACGTTATGGAAACCTGAAAGAAAACAGAGAAAGGGGTTGTTGTCACATCTTAACTTCTGGGGTTTGAACATTGGACAGTGTGGTCTCCTGAGCTTGAGCAGAGACAGGATGATGATGAGGTCAGCTCACTTGTATACGCCAGAGCCACAGCCGACAGAACTGGACTTGTTTTGAAATCGGGATGCACTCTGTACTGAACTACAGATCACACAGCTGCTCACAGCCTACATGGACCTTAAGAGAGTGGGTTCCTTTAGATTTCTACTTAGCATATACAAGAGCACATGTTTCAAAACCCTTCCTGGGTAAATGCCATAATTCGAAATCACAGTTACCTATCTAATCAGAGTCATTCCAGCTAGAAGGATTTACAAAATGTGTAACAAATTCTTAGATAACGGTACAAGGTTGGCATTCCGTTAGAACAGCCAGGATCGTTTTGTTCTGAGCAGAATAAAAAGCGCCTTTATCTTTTCTGCAAGGAGTTGGCAGTTTGCTCAAGGACATTTCTCAATTTTGAAATGCAAATGTAAGAGCATATTGCTTGCTTTCCAAAGAAAACACATTTTCCTCTTCGGGTCTGAATAGTCCCCGACAGGGGTGCTGTTGGTCATTCGTGAAGAATCTGAGGTGGAAACCCGGTCACAGTCTAGAGATGACTAAGGAAAGCACTTTGTTGAGCCCTGCAGAGAGGTAAGACACCTCCTGACCTCCCAGCCCAGGGGAAGAAGTTGGTGGAGTTCCAGTGAGATGGAAGAGCCCCTGTCACTCTTCCCAACACAATGCCCGTTTCTCTGCCGGTGCCATTGGCTTGCCATTCGCAGTCCTGTCCACTCTCTGGCTTACCAGCCTGCAGCAGCTGGAGATAGTGATTTCTCACTCCTCTGTAGACTTCAAAGTCTGGGCTTGAAGGCCATTGTCTTCTTGAAGAGTCCTTAAGGGACTAATCTCTCTTTTGGAAGAAAATGATGACAATGAGATGAGTTTCTAGAATCTTCTTAGTCTTTGACACATTTTAAAGCATCAAAGAGATCCTGGGTCATGGTCCCGCTTTTGTTTCTTAGAGGAATTAAATGCCTTTCCCTTACTCTAGGTTCCTGAAAGCTGTGTAAGCCATGCAAACAGCAGCAGGACTTAAAGGCTCAAGGAAGCTGAGTGGACCACTAGATCTTACCATGTTGTGCTTCTGGGTAGCAGAGCAATCCTCGGGAGTGCTGAGCGACCTCCATAAACACCAAGTGACCTCTGGGGTGACAGGAACCGTGGCCCTGACTGCACCATGAAGAGCAAACATCTGAGTCTTGGATCTGCTGGCACCTGGAAGATTGATCACCAGAGACACAGCTCTAACTACACCAATCAGAGGAAAAGATGGTAGACAAGGTAAGAACACACTCAGCACCACAAAAAAACAACAACAACAACAAAAAACCCATGACACCAACAAATGATGTGGGATTCCCCTCTGTGTAGGGTGTATGCAGGAAATAATAAAATTGAGAGCTGAAATCAACAAAATACAAAGAAAACAACACAAAGAATCAATGAGACAAAGAGTTGGTTCTTTGAGAAAATCAACAAAATAGGCAAACCTTTATCCAAACTAACAAAAAGGCAGAGAGAGAATATCCAAATTAACAAAATCAGAAACGGAAAGGGGGACAGAACAACAGACACGGAGGAAGTCCAGAGAATCATTAGATCATATTTCAAAATCCTGTACTTGACAAATTGGAAAACTTAAAGGAAATGGACAATTTTCTGGATAAATATCACTTACCAAAATTAAATCAAGACCAGATAAGCAAATTAAATAGACCTATAACTGCTAAAGAAATAGAAACAGTCATCAAAAGTCTCCCAACCAGATGGTCTCAACTCAGAGTTCTACAAGATTTTCAAAGAAGAACTAATACCAATACTTCTCAAATTTTTCCACACAATAGGAACAGAAGGAACATTGCCAAACTCTTTCTATAAGGCTACAATTACCCTGATACCCAAACCACACAAAGACATTACTAAGAAAGAGAATTACAGACCAATCTCACTCATGAACATTGATACAAAAATACCCAACAAAATTCTGGCAAATTGAATCCAAGAACACATCAAAAAAAATCATCCACCATGATCAAGTCAGCTTCATCCCAGAGATGCAGGGATGGTTCAACATATGAAAATCTGTCAATGTAATCCACCATCTAAACAAACTGGAAAAAAAAACCCCACATCATCCTCTCATTAAATGTAAATAAAGCCTTCAAAAAAATATAATATCCCTTCATGATAAAGAGAGCAGGGATAGCCAGGCGGCGGTGGCGCACGCCTTTAATCCCAGCACTCGGGAGGCAGAGGCAGGCGGATCTCTGTGAGTTCGAGGCCAGCCTGGTCTACAAGAGCTAGTTCCAGGACAGGAACCAAAAAGCTACGGAGAAACCCTGTCTCGAAAAATCCCCCCAAAAAAGAGAGCAGGGATACAAGGAACATATCTAAATATAATAAAGGCAGTATACAGCAAGCCAACAGCCAACATCAAACTAAATGAAGAGAAACTCAAAGTGATCCCACTGAAATCAGGAACAAGACAAGGTTGTCCACTCTCTCCATATCTATTCAATATAGTTCTTGAGGTCCTAGCTAGAGCAATAAGACAACAAAAGGAGATCAAAGGGCTACAAGTTGGAGAAGAAGAAGTCAAATTCTCACTGTTTGCTGATGATATGATAGTTTACATAAGCGACCCCAAAAATTCTACCAAGGAACTTCTACAACTCATAAACACCTTCAGTAATTTAGGAGGATACAAGATTATTCGAAAAAATCAGTATCCCACCTTTATACTGATGATAAATGGGCTGAGAAAGAAATAAAGAAACATCACCTTTCACAATAGCCACAAAATAACATAAAATATCTTGGAGTAACTCTAAGCAAACAAGTGGAAGACCTGTCTGACAAGAACTTTAAATCTTTCAAGAAAGAAATTGAAGAAGTCACCGGGAAATGGAAAGATCTCCCAGGCTCTTGGGTAAGTAGAATTAACAGTAAAAATGGGAATCTTACCAAAAGCAATCTACAGATTCACTGCAATGCCCATCAAAATCCCAGCAAAATTCTTCACAAACATTGAAAGAACAATATCAGCTTCATATGGAAAAGCAAAAAAACAAAACATAACAAAACAAAACAAAAAAGCCAGGATAGCCAAAACAATCCTATAAAATAAAGCAACTTCTGGAGGCATCACAATCCCTGACCCAAGTGTGGCATTGAACATTTAGAGTAAGGGGATTTTAATGCAAAATCCTTTAAAACCCACATCTTAGTATCTCACTCAACAGTAGCGGGGGAGGTTTGCACAAGCAGGCAGCTTCATAGAAGATAAATTAGCTGGGGCATCTTGACCTCGGGTTCCTGGAATAGACGGGAAATTTCCCACAAAGCTTCCCATCAAGGAGATCAAATTCTAGTTCAACCTAAAATGACCTTAGCAAGCGTCCAAGATGGAGGAACCTCTGCACTCTCTTGTTCTGTCACAACTGGACATTTAATGGTCATCAGATCAATTGAATGGGGAGACCAGATTCAACACCTAAAGTACTTGCCTCTGGTAACACCACCGAAGCTTCTACGGTTATAGGCAGCCCCAAAGGGAATGCAGAGACTAAGATCCTTCCCCTTTGAACAGACCCTAGAAGCCTGGCCAATGAACATTAGATACTGTGGCCATCCAAAAAGGGAGAGCTCTTTCTCAAGTTTTAAAAATTACGCGGATTTATATAAGGCCAATTCCACGCAAGTATGTAATAAGCTTTAAGCGTCTTGTACCATATTCCTCCATGCCTCTCTGCCCTGTATCCTCTCCCTGACCCTTTCGTTCCTCAGTTTGATGGCATCTGTATACACTGTAGAAGTAACCCAATGAGAAAAGTCAGAGCTGTCAAGACTATGGCGGCAGCCTGTGTTCGCTGAGCCTGGCACATGGCTTAGCGGGCTGGTTTTCTATAATGGCGGCCTCCGTTCGCCCAGCCTGTCCACTGTGTGCTTAGCGGGATGATTTTACAAAGCTATTCCCTGCAGCAGGACAACTTGATAACAAAAGCAGCTGTAGCTTAAGTTCAAGGCTCATCGGCAAGGAATGACCAGAATTCTCCCATATCTTTTTCCAGGCACTGTGTTCTGAAGCCGAGATTATGTCTCTTCACCTCCAAGCGGAATGAAACGGCCTTTATTTGTAAAGGTCTAACTCACAAGGACAAACTTAGAGGCCAGAGCTTCTGTGTTTTATTTGGTCTTAAAACTTTAAATGGATGCTCACAATAAAAAAAAATAAATAAAAGGACAATTACATATAAAAAAATCCAAACTTCTAGTCTCTCTTGTAAAAAGTCACAAGATTTTATACCTTTTGGCCTGGCTCCTGTAAGACTTAACAGATGGGGCAGGTTGGGAATTCCAACGTGAGAGAAGATTCCCTTCCCATCTCCCGAGTTCCCAGTACACCTGGGTATCTTCTGTGAACCCACTACAAGGAAGTCTAGCTCTGCCTGGCTGCTGTGTATAAGCTTTGACCTCTAGACCATGGTATTTTGTTTTTATGTCTATGTGTGTGCTAGACAGTTTTATGTTGACTTGACACAAGTCAGAATCACTTGGAAAGAGGGAACTTCAATAAAGAAAATGTATCAGGTTGTAGGCCAGCCCGTAGGCATTTTCTTAATTAGTGATTGAAGGGGAAGGGCCCAGTCTATTTTGGGGGGTGTCATCCCTGGACTAGCCGTTCTGGGTTCTATAAGAAAGTAGGCTGAGCAAACCATGGGAAGCTGGCCAGTAAGAAGCACTCCTCTGGGCTTTCTGCCTCCAGGCTACGGTCCTGCTCAAGTCCTGTCCTGACTTCCTGTGACATGGAAGTGTAAGCAGAATCAACCCTTTCCTCCCAAGTGGCGATTGTCATGGTGCTTCACTACAGAGATAGGAAGGAACCCTAGCTAAGACAATGCATGTTTTGCCTGCATGCATGTCTGGGCACCGCTTGCATGTCTGAAGAGGGATCCTATCTCCTAGATAAGGATGGCGGTGAGCTGCCACATGTGCTAGGGGTTGAACTGGGGTCCCCTGAAACAACAGTCAGGCTTTTAACTACCGAGCCATCTCTGTCGCCTCAGAATGTGTGCTTTGACGGGAAAAAATTCATTATTTCCACATAATTCAGAGAGATTGCCCACTCCTAGGTGTGGCCTGCTCATGTCTAGTCAAGGGGATAGAATCCAAGCTCTATTTACTTTGCACAATGGACAGAAAGCCTTCTGATGATTTAAATTTGAGTATATTCAAATCATAAACATCTTGATGGATAATGCAATTACATTTGTGGGTTATATAGGAAGCTATCAAACAAGATTACATATTGTGGTTGTTTGAGTAGGTACGGCCGCCACAGAGTCTCGTGTGTCTGAATGCTTGGTCTGTAGGGAGAGGCACCATTAGGAGGTGTGACCTTGTTGGAGGAAGCGTGTCACTGTGGGGGTGGGCTCTGAGGTCTTATAAGCTGAAGTTTAGCCAGCATGACACAGACCCTTTCCCGTTGCCTGCAAATCAGGATGTAGACTCTCAGCTCCTTCTCTAGCACGATGCGTCTGCCTGCATGCTGCTATGTCCTGCCGTGAAGATAATGGACTAAACCTCTGAAACTGTAAGCACTCAATTAAATGTTTCCTTAATAAGAGTTGCTGTGGTCAGCAGTGGCACACACCTTTAATCTCAACACTCGAGAGGCAGAGACAGGCAGATCTCTGTGAGTTCAATGCTAGCCTGGTCTACAGAGTTCCAGGATGGGCTCCAAAGCTACAGAGAAACCTGTTTCAAAGAAGCCCCCCTCCAAAAAAAAAGTTACTGTGGTCATGGTGTCTCTTCACTAAGATACACATTTAGTGTGTTTGTTTTGTGAAGCTTTTGTAGTAAACTAGTATAAACACAGTGGCTGAAAACAAAAGAAGTTAGTTTGAGTTTACCATGGAATTGCATGCCTTTAATCCTAGCTCGTGGAAGCCTAAGCTAGGAGGTGAGAAGTTCAAGGCCAGCATGGGCTGTATAGTAAGACTATCATAAAACCAATCACACAGGTTTTATTTCTTCAAGATTCTAGTAGTTTAGAAGGAGGTCATGCTCACTCTGAAGACAGGAGGAGAGAATTCTCTCTTGCCTGGCCACCTTCTGGTAGCTCTAGGACAGTGTATCCTGCACTCCAAGAGTTACTGTAGATGAAAACATCACAAAAATAGCTAACGTTCCTGTGTGCTTGTCACAGGCTGGACACAGCGCCAGGCC